GAAGGAAGGAAGGAAGGAAGGAAGGAAGGAAGGAAGGAAGGAAGGAAAAAATTAATTCTGGTGTCATAAAAGATACCGGGGCCCAGCCAGGAATTATAAAGTGTAAAGTCAGGTACAGATTTGAATCCCAATTCCAACCTATACTAACTGTGATTTCATGGGGTTACTGATGCTCTTTTAGCTTCAGGTTCCCTACGTGTAAAATAAGGCCAGCCAAACCACCGAGGTATGTCCAGAGGGATTGATCCAGAGGGACTGATGCTGCCTCCACAGAGCTGCCTTGAAGGTCAGCTGCATTTCCAACGCCAAACTGGTGCCATTTAAAAACTCCAAGACTGAGTAGATATGCTTTATATAACCGTCTCAGAGAGGCGGTTTAGTGTGGTGATTAAAGGGATGGATTCTAGAACTCACCTCATGAATCCAAAGCCTGGCACTGCCACTTACTCTAAGTATTAGCTGTTATCATTTTTATTGCTGACTAGCAGAGGAAATGCTGGACTGCAGACTGTAGACTGCCTTCTCCTCTGTGAACCTTAGTTTTCTCATCTGCAAATAGAGTACTAATACAGGCTTTAGACTACAGAGGCTTGCTCTGAGTCTTAAAAGAGATGATTCAAATGGCTAAAACTTATTGAACACAGGTGCCAGACACTGTTAAAAGCACTGTGCATGGGTTCATTCATTGCATCCTCACAAGATCATTATTCACTGTTATCCCCATTCTAAAGCATGGGAAACTGAGGCACAGAAAGGCATGTGTTCTGCCCAAGGTGACACGTTCAATAAGGAGCTAAAGGCAAGATATGAAAGTGTGTGTCTGCTCGAAGCCCAGGGTTTAGGCACCACACTGCATATCTCTCCTCTAGGGCACTTAGCACAGAACCCGGCACAAAGAAAGTTCTCAGTACATGGCAGCTCTTAGCGATCAGAGAGAAGCTGCTGGTAGAGATTTTAGGACCATTAGCTAAGAGATGCTATGGACACTGTGGGAGGAGGAGTTTCCCTAGAAAGGCTCCAAGAAGTATCCAGAAAGAGGGAGAAGCAGAGAAAACAATGTCCAAGGACTCACCTAAATGACATGGCCCAATGTGGTGCTACCACCCCAAAGACCCGGGAGTAGGCGGGAAATGGGGCAACTTTCCTACCAGACCTGGACCCGAAGTTCCCCATCATCAAAGATACCTCCTCCTAAGACAGCCCTGCCACTCAGAAAGGCTCTGCTGCTTACAGAGTTCTTCCCTAAAAGTGTAGAGCAAAACCAGATTGTTCTGGGTGTGTCCGTGAGCTTTCTTTTTCAAGAATGCTTGAGTAATAAACATTTTGAGGAGATGAAGAAGAGCCAGGCATGGTGGCTCATGCCTGTGATCCCAGCACTTTGGGAGGCTGAAGCAGGAGGATCACTTGAGTCCAGGAGTTTGAGACCAGCCTGGGCAACATAGGGAGACCCTTGTCTCTACCAAAAAAAACCAAAAAAATTAGCTGGGTGTGGTGGCATGTGCCTGTAGTTTCAGTTCCTCAGGAGGCTGAGGTGGGAGGATTGCTTGAGCCCAGGAGGTGGCGGCTGCAGGTGGAGGCTGCAGTGAGCCGTGATTATAATCATGCCAGTACATTCCAGCCTGGGCGACAGAATGAGACCATGTCAAATAAATAAATAAATAAAATAAGAAGAAGGAGGAGGAGGAGGAAGAAGAGCAAAAAAAATTCTCCCTCAAACCCAGGTAAAGTCTGACTTCTTGTTTTTAAGTTTTTGACAACTCTTCCCCTGGAGACACCTTCATTCTTCTCCCACAGCCTTCTGCTCAGTTGGAGCCTTTTGAAGGCCTCCTTTGTACATGGATCTGGAGAGGAGGACAGGGTTATCAGAGAAAGGCGACAGGGGCCCTTATCAGGGGCCTTATCCTGAACCAAATGGAGGCACCAAGCCTTTATCTCCTTACTGCATTTGGAACTGAAAAGAACCTGCCCCTCTCGAGCCTTGGGTGTGTTCCATCGCTGGCTCACTCCTAGAAGTAACTCTCGTTGGGAGCCTGAGCTGAGCAGGCCTTCTCTGCTTTCCTGAGGAAAGGCTTTTTACAGTACCTGCTGTCCCATCGTCTCTCCTGACACCCAAGCCACGTAACATCTAGAGAGGCCCCCTTTCTCGTCCCTCCAGATTCCTTTTTCCCAACACTAAAGTCCTCTTGGACTGTCTTTGCCGTTCCACAGGAGGAACGATTTCTTCCTGCGCAGTGCCCGCGTCTCCCCCCACTCCACCTCCCCACTGACTGCGCAGCGCAGCCAGGCCTTTCCCTAAGTGCCTTTCCCTCCCAAGATGATCATCCCATTTGTTCCCAAGAAGAGGCCCGTGGCCCCAACCCAGCTTGAGACTCGATAAGCGCACTCCGTGAAGAACAAAATCAGCCTCAACTTAGCACCCACCTTTCCAGCTCCTCCAAGAGAGCTTCCTCTCCTGAAAAGAGAGCTGCACCCAGCCGGCCAGGAACGCTGGCTGTCCCCGGAGCTTGGGCTGCTAGCGCCCGGTGCAGCAGGCCAGCCCAGGGGAGTGGTCAGCCTGATGGAGGCGGGTCGTTGGGCCGGTCGAGGGAGGAAAAGCAGGCCGGACTGCCCCTCGTTGTAGAATCGCTTAGCCACCTCCTTCTCCTCCTCCTCCTCCTCCTCTGTCCCCACCTCCCCTGCCCCTCCCATTTCTGAGTTGCCTGGCCAAGGATTCCTTTCCGTGACTTCACCGGCCTGTAGCCAGTGACCTTCAGCACACAGCAGGGGAATAAAAATGAGAAAGAAAATCGCCTTTTTGGAGAGGTGGACAATGACCTCTTTATTGAGAGGCCCTTTGCTTTTCTCTAAGTCAATAACTTACTGACTTATTTTTGCTGCATGGAAATGAGCACCATGCAAATGTGCGTGGCAGGTGCTCTGGAGCTGCGCTGTCGTGCCTGCGAGAGCAGAGCAGCAGGTGGGTCGTGATGACACACTCAGGCTGCAGAGTCCCAGGCTTGTCACTTCCTATCTGTGTTCCCCTGCAGCGGCTGCACCACTCCCTGCGCCTCCTTTTCATCATCTCTAAAATGGGGGTGTGATGCTGTCCATCCCCGCAACAGCGTGAAGATGCAATGAGATCGTCACTCACCAGTGAGAACACAGTGCCTGGCACTAGCCACACTCATAATCTGCCATGGTTGTTACCGTTGTTATGAAAGAGATGAGGAGTCTTTTGAAAGAATGTGTGGTCTGGGAGAAGTGGAGTGTTTTCCTCCCAATGTCCTTTCTTCTTTGGCTGCTGTGAACTTCCCTCAATCATAGAAGCCCTTTCCGAAAATAGAAGCTCTTCTTTCCCAGAAAAGCCCATGTGGGCAAAATCAGGCAGCCTGCTAGTTGGCCTCCATCCTCCTGCGTTCCTTCAACAAATATTTATTAGGTGCCCATCCATTCCAGGCACCATGCTGTGTGCCAGGCACCCAGAGCTACATGAGTCGGCCTTGGGGGTTCATTCTCTGGAGACGGAGACAGCTATGTCAATAGATGCATCCATTACAGAGTGGGGAGCGTAGCAACGGATGAATGAAGAGGGCCTCCTGAGGTCCGAAACACTCATTTTGATGGCAGGAAAGCTTGTAAAAAAATCTAAATCTCTGGACCCCGCCCCAGGCTGGGTGAATTAGTTACCAGCAAGGGCTTCCTAGATTCATCTTGGAAGAACTCAAACTAATGATCTTTAACCAGGGGCAGGTGTTCTGTGAGATAAGGAGACTTCCCAGAAATCGGAGACTCCAGCCCTACCGCCCTATCGTCCTTCCTTCTGACCCGCTGAGAACTCAGGCACCAGCAGCTCGATCTTCAGCTCTGCATTCTGTTGGTGGGCGTAGTTGTCCACGACTAATGAGTTTTCAGAGTTCCAGATGCCACCCACCACCCCACCCCCACCCTGCAACATTCTGGTTGCTTATTGTGAAAGCTTCATCACATTTTTAGAACATTTATATTTTCATTCAGTTCTTGAAATTGTAATCATATACATGCATGGCTACTATTATAAATGGCGCTTTCTTCACTTAGCCTAATTTTATTTCTCTTAAGGTCTAAGAAAGCATGTCTCCATTCTGGTATTCTAGGATTGATGCTAAAACCGAGATTTACTTCCATTTTGATGGCATCCTAGAGGAAATTTGCCTTTTTCTCACCCCCTACCATTGCAACACTCATTCCCTCTTCCTTTGCTAATGGCATCCCAGTTTCCTTCTGAGAATCTATACTTTCAGTTCAGCAGGTGATGTTGACTTCATCTCCTGCTCCAGAGGTAGGATTGTGGCTTAGGTTTGATAAATCATACTATCGCATTGGTTCAGGGATGATCCACCTTCAGAGCCAAGGAGATGCAATGCCACTTTCACTGGGACTGTTGGAAGAGATGCGTGCTCTTTCTCACTGGACTTGAAACTGGAGAAAAAAGCCTGGAGTTATTGCTACCAACATGTTCCACTAAGGGAGACACTGTCTGTGGATAAGGCCCATGCAGAAGGCAATGGAATAAAAGTAGAGTGAGAGCTTGGGACAGTGCCACCTGCATGTGTAGTCCCAGCTACTAGGAAGGCTGAGGCAGAAAGAGTGCTTGAACCCAGGAATTCAACACTATGGTGTGCTATGATCACTTCTGTGATCAGCCACTGCATCCCAGCCTGGGCAACGTAGGGAGAACCTGCCTCAAAAAACAAAAAATCAGAGTGAAATCTGAGCCCACTGTCAGTGTTTGAGCTTCTCACTTAGCCATACTCGATACTCTATTTTTTTTCTCTTTTTTTTGAGACAGAGTCTTGATCTGTTGCCCAGGCTGGAGTGCAGTGGCACGATCTCGGCTCACTGTAGCCCCGGGCTCCCAGGTTCCAGCAATTCTCCTGCCTCAGCCTCCTGGGTAGCTGGGATTATAGGCATATGACAGCACGCCTGGCTAACTTTTGTAATTTTGGTAGAGACAGGGTTTCGCCATGTTTGCCAGGCTGGTCTCAAACTCGTGACCTCAGGGGATCTGCCCACCCCGGCCTCCCAAAGTGCTGGGATTATAGGCATGAGCCACCATGGCAAGCCTCACGTTCTGTTTTCATTACATGAGTCAATACATTCTTATTTTGCTTAAGGTGTTTGGGTTGAGTTTTCTGAAGTCGCAACTGAATGCTTTCTGAAGCACTTTCTCATATGGTATCATATTTAATGCTTGCAATAATTTTTGTGGGGTGGATATTAAACTTCGTTTATAAGAAAATAAGGTCCAGTAAGAAAAGGTAATGGACTCCAGGTTAGAGAGCTAGAAAATGGCAAAGTCAAGATTTAACCCTAGGACTTCGATTCCTAAGCTTGGACTCTTAGTCATTATGCTTTACTACTACCTAACCTAATGCAAAGATGAAAGCAAAATTAGAAGCAAGTAAGAGAGGAGTCAGAGGCGTTCACATTTCACAGTGATCTCCGTAACATCAGTGACTGCCACGCAAGCGAGACCCTGGACCATTGACCTCTTATTATTTTCGTACTTGTAAATGTAGGCTACACTGGAAAGTCAGATGAGCATTGTCAAGCAGCGGTTTGAGGAAAGACATGGAAAAGCACTCCTCCTACCCATGTGGAAGAGCTCTCTGCTAGAGAACTTCGAACGTTTTGTGCAGGAATACGAGTATACGAGTTGTAAATAGCCTTCTTTTCCTGTGTTCAGAAAACTGATACAATTAAATTCAGGAAATAGAGTGATTACCCTGAGGAGAAAATTTTTGAAAACAATTAAAGTTTCAGGTTAACCTTCCTAGAAAGCCAGGTTTTGTGTGATTACTGTTTACCCAACCAGATAACTTCAAATACGCCTGAAAAAACTTACAGTATGTTTTGCCTGCCCGGGGTTCTCCCAGAAGCTCCCCTGGGAAGTTAAAGTAAAACTGGGGAACTGCATAGTTCAGTCTTGGATCTTCTCATTTTATCTAGACACATCTGGGTAACGGGAAAAGGGGATCCTCACTGGCAGGGTAGGCAGGGAGAAAAGAAGCATCATTATTATGAATAGAAATAAGATAGCAGGCCAGACACGGTGGCTCACATCTGCAATCTCAGCAATTTGGGAGGCTGAGGCAGGAAGATTACTTGAGGTAAGGTCAGCCTAGGCACCATACAAGACCCCCAACTCTACAAAACATTTTTTAAAATTAACCGGGCATGCTGGCACACGCCTGTGGTCCAAACTCCTCAGGAGGCTGATGTGGGAGGATAGCTGGAGCTCAGGAGGTAGAGGCTGCCGTAAGCTATGATTGTGCCGCTGCGCTCCAGCCTGGGCGACGGAGCAAGACCCTGTCTCAAATAAAGGAAGGGAAATAATCACATCTAACATTTACTAAGTGCCTCTTCTGTACCATGGACGTGCACCCTTTATGTACACCTCTTCATTTGTATTATTAGTCCTGTTCCTCAGTGAAGAGGAGAGATGGTGCGCTGTTCCATGCCCCCCCATTCTGGCACATTTGCTTTCACTGTTAACATGTCAACCCTCCCCCTTAAATGCTGGGACAGTGTGTATGAAGGAGAAGGTAATGAAAACCAGTCAGAACCAGTAATTTCTCAACAGGTTACACATGAGGCCACATGGAGAGAATGACCAGTGGTAGAACACAGAATAAATGTCTTTTCTGATCCAAAGGTGAGTGTGTGTAAAATATTCTCAGGAAAACAACCAGAGTTAAATCCCTTCACACTGCGTTCTTCAGGAACTCGGACTCTCCCTCCAGTTCTACTCGCTGTCCCATGCCCATGAGAAAACTTGGGCCAATTCTGTTTTGTCTTAGGGAAGCGAGACAGCATGGCTCAGCTACGCCCAGGAATGGCAATAATAGTAACAATGATAGCAGCATCATAACTTGATAGCAAATCCAATTTAATGTTTATTTCCTCAAAGTAATGTCGTGGTACACTCTACTTGGGAAAAAAAGACTTTTCCAGCTTATATTATATTTATTTAACATTCACTGGGCTCAACAGCCATATTCGCCCTGATTCTTACTCTCTCTTTCCCAAGAAGCTGAAAAGCCAGGCATTTGCTTTCCCAGAATCCCTTTCATCTGGCATTGGTCATGTGACCCAGCATATTGCCTATGAGACATAACCAGATGTGCCTTTGGAAAAGCTTTTTCTTTCTGTATAAAAGGCAGAAATGGCTGGTGCTTTCCCCCTTCCTTTTGCCTAAAATGTGGGTGTGATGCCAGCAATGTGGTAGCTACTTTGGGTCCATGCAATGACAAGAATGAGAACATAATGCCAACATGCCCAGCATGGCAAAAGGGAAGGATGGGAAGAACCTAGGTCATCAAAGACCTCACTGAACACCTTAACCAACACCTGTACACGTCTAATCTTTCTTGTAATAGAAGAAAATTAGCCTCAACACATTCTATTGTTAATGGGTTTCTGTTACTAGCAGCCACATTTATGCTCAACTGATGCGATTATGTACCAGACCCTATACTGGGCAACATGACTATGAAGATGTAGAAATCACAGCCTCAATTCAAGGGACCCATAGTCTATTTGGAGAGACATATGTGCAAGTGAGCATAGAATCTTCCCAGTGTCATGCTCTTATTTTATAGGTGGAAACCAAGATCTAAAATGGTTAACTGATTATTCCAT